CTCTAATGCCTGTGGGGTCGAAGTGCTCCCTGGGCCTCCGCTCACAGATATCGAGTACGCAGACGACATAGCTCTTCTGGGATCTGACCCCGTGGTAATGCAAACAATATTAAATAATCTAAATAATTCTGCCTCGCGGTTCGGCATGCGCTTCACACCCGCAAAGTGTAAAGTGCCACTGCAAGATTGGGTGGGCCCAAACCCTAGCCTCATGCTTGCGGATGAACCGATTGAGGTAGTAGACAAATTTGTTTACCTGGGCAGCTGTATCATTCCCGGTGGTCTCGCGAAAGATGATATTTCCATCCGGATTAGAAAGGCCAGAGCAGCTTTTGCGAACCTACATCACCTGTGGCGTAGGCGTGACATCAACTTCTCCGTCAAGGGTCGAGTTTACAATGCTGCGGTGCGCTCCATATTACTATATGGATCAGAAACCTGGCCGCCGCGCGCCGAGGACGTCAAAAGACTTTCAGTGTTTGACCATCCATGTCTTCGGAGCATTGCCCGAATCTGGTGGGAACACCGGATCAGCAATGCTGAGGTACGTCGAATGGTATTCGGGAGAAATAACTCACCCTCGATAGATGAACTGATCACACTGCACAGGTTGCTCTGGCTCGGCCACGTGCTGCGTATGCCAGTTCACCGACTTCCTTGAAGGGCTCTTTTCGCACAACCAGAGGCGGTCAACCAATAACTTGGCAGCGAAGTATGAAGGCCATTACCAGCAAACTTAGCTGCGCTGGTCATTGCCGTCTTCCTGGATGGGGACCCCGAGACGGGTCACATCAATGGCTAGAGACATTGTCAAATATGGCCCAGTCGCGCCCTCAATGGTGCTCGTGCATCCAGGCTATAGCCTTTAGTGCATAGCTCCTTTTTCAACCCCCTCACCACTGGACAGCCCACTGACAGTGCTGGATTTGAGCACCAATTTATCAGCCCCCGCCTGCAACGCGCAGCTACCTCCCCCTCCCCCCCAAACCATCGGTGAACGATACTGTGGCAGCTACAACCACAGTTCGACGAGTACGTGGTTATTACAGCTGACAATGATGACGAATCCGGGAAAAAGGAAGTATCGGTCATCCACGCAGTAAGTGAGTCTCTTCGGATTTCAGAGTAGTGAAAGTTGAGATTCATTACAACACACCCAACCAAGATCTGCACCGGCTCAAAAAAAAGCTGATCGCATCGTGATGTACATTTCATGTCGGGTGACTGGAATACGTAAACTCATTTGCATCGTTTGCAATTTCTGTTTTGAACTCCAGCGGACTGTCGGCAAATGATCAGGCAACAGACTTTCAGTCAGAATGGACAGTCTGGGTAATAAAGCAGTCTCAAGCTTTGTTAGAGTGCAAATGTTCTTCTACTTCTACTTCCCAACGGCAGTTGTTTTCTTGTTCGTCAAGCTGTAGTTTTTTGGGGAGTGAGAGGGTAAACTTCTACAGGAGATAGTGTGTGGTAGATTTTGAGTGCTAACGATGGTTTAGGTCTCTATAATAGCCCATGGTGAACTAAGTGAAGACTACACTAAAAACCTTAAGCCTGACCCTTGATGATCGGACATAGTGCAACGGTGATACTACTGATGGGGGAGGTATGCGAGTGTTTTCTCATCTCATAAATCCGTTTTGCGTCTCTTGAAAAGTGAGATCTGTCACGGAACTTGTGGATTCGCTTTGTAGTATTTGCTTGGATTTGAGCAACGGTCGATAAATATCCAGAAAAGTTCAGGAAGACGCGTTCAAAGAGAGGATGGATATCCAGTTTTTGTCAACAAGATGCATATGAGAGTTTTGCTTCCCTGTCCATTGGTCTGTAACTTTTCAGTTGGCACTTTCTAATGAATGAATTTGAAGCAAAGGTCTTCTTCCTTTCAATAGTATAGCTGTGAGTGTGGCTCGGGTTCAGGGAAGTGAGATGGGTGAGGCAAACTGATCAAACTTATGTCACATGGCATCTACTATTCCCTTGTCCAAATCACACGTAAGAATTCGAAACAAGTTCACTGGAATGATTCGTGAGATCTGGTTTTAGTAACATCCCGTCTAACTGGTATGACGCCATTTTTAATGACAAGAGCAGCAAAGTTCAGTGAAGCCAATCTTCTCATCGAAGTGTAAATGTATCGATTTCCTATTTGTGCAACCCATAGATTTTTGAAAATGTAACTTGTTCGCTCTCGAATATTGCACAGCTAACTATGGGTTGGCTATAGTGGTTTTCATGAAGCTGAGAGGGTCAAAGAAAATATCTAGGCGTTCGTTTTGGCAAGGCTTAAAAACAAACAGTAGATCTATGTACGAACATTTCCGAAACAACGGTTTCTCGATTCCGCATTTGGCAAAATTGTTCGGGATCTCAGCCTTCCGATCCGAGTCCATGGAGCATGCGTAAACACCAAGGAGGGGCTGGTGGTTGCTTGGGGTGAAAGTCTGCACAACAGCGCTGACGGTCGCGGTTTACGAGAGTTGGTCACTTCGCCTCTCTCGAATCGATGGCTCGTATTCCCAGAACGAGTGTTTCCACGGATATTTATCCGGGGTATCCAGCTCCGATGCAACCTGCTTAGGACGAGAGTTAGAAGCGCTCGGCATGGTCATGGTGGCCAGACGATCTTATGTCGTGGAAACTGTGGCCAACCAGAGAGTTTGGTGCATATTTTGCAATCCTGCTGGATCACGCATGATGCCAGATGTGCTCGTCATAATCGGGTTGCAAGGGAACTTGCAAAACGTCTCCGTCGACTGGGGCACACCGTCTTCGAGGATTTGAGAGCCCCTACTTCTACGTCGTTCATCAAACCTGACCTAATCGCTGTTCGAGATCGCCGTGCAACCGTAATAGACGTTAGCATAGTCTCGGATGGGCGTGGAGAGATAGTGTGGAATGAGAAGAAGAAGAAGTATGGTGCTGATGAACATTCCCTCGCCATAATCTCAGCCCTACATGCCATCGGTTGTGATATCGACTTTTTGGTTCACCAACCGATGATCATCTCTTATCGAGGGATCTGCTTTCCTCAATCCGCTAAGGCTGTTATTGGACTGGGACTTCCTAAGGTCGCAGTCAGTGACTTGTGTTTGCTTGCCATTGTGGGCTCCCTGCGTACTTATGACACTTTTATGCGTGGCACATGGCGTTGAAGGTACATTTTTGCCATTTAATCTCACACCAGACCCAGTATGACGGTCACTTTGTGCCTGATGTGCGAGTCTTGACTGTGCTAGCGCACACTGCGCCTTGAAGAGCATTCACCATTGTTTGTCCTTTCTTTGGTTGTTGGTCCTTAGACGCGTGTTCCCATTCCAAAATCTTTACACACTTTGGGATTCACCTCATCAGACTGGCACTGTCCTTGGCATGATTTCGAATGAGACGTTTCTCTCTTTTCTCCCATATTATCCTGTTACTCTTTCGTATTCATCGCTTGCATTCACTTTTTATGTTTGTGACCATGCTCTTCAAAAATAAATGATAGTATGAAAGTGATGTTTGATAAATTTAATCTCATCTGTGATTTACAGATGGCCGTATCCTGATAACAGATAAGCGCCACCAAAGGACCAGAGATCAACTTTGAATATTCGATTTTATCTACTACCGTACAGTTAGTAATTCAGTCTTACGGGAAAATTTATGTGGAGTGTTCAGTGTTGGGGGTCAGTATGCGCCGAGAGATTTAACGGATTTCTAGCGTGAAAAAAATTTCCCAGGAGAGATACTGTTGTTCTTTTCCTACACAGCAGCGTGAAGACAGTCGAATGGAACTCGGAGATGCAAAGTTGCTCTTGGCTGAGGGTACCGAGGAAACGCCGCAGCGAAGAGAAGCTCAGTAAATTCCTGCCCTACTTTTGCAAGTGTTTTGTGTATTTTGGACTAAGGATAGTGATGGTGTCGGACGCTTCAGCTAATTTTATTGCATATACAAAGCCTACGAGGCCGTGCTTCATCCAATATAAGTCAGCTGAAGTGATAGCACATTTCATGAGAACGAATTCCATGTCTCTGAAATTTACTTGGGCTTAACAATAGAAAAATTTAATTTGTTTCTCACATTTCCTTGTAGCGTTTTCCGAACACCATCCAAATAGGCGGAAGGGTCTTGACCGTTCACTGTCCAACGGATTTGTGGAGCCGGATCACCAGTAGCAGTACATGTGAAAATCACTGAACCATTCACCGGAACTGTTGTGTCCTGGGGCTTGTCCACAAATGTTGGCCTTACTGAAAGGTAAAATGAAAGACCAATGTTGCAAACATGGAAACTTATTGAGTCTAGGATGCGCAAACATGTTTGTGGCATTTCTGACTAGACAATGAACTCAAAAGACCGTTGGGTAGTAAGAGAGGCTTTTGTTGGGACTCATTGCAAATTTAACAAACATCTACGTCTTGACAGCGATCTGTTGTCACTACCGTCGGCAGTACCATCGAAACAATGCAATACACATGTAGCAAGTACCGATGCGTGACTATCAACCAATAACAAAGGAAGACAGTACCAGCAAGCAGTTGAAAGAAAAAAATGGAGTTAGCATACGGTAGGCCTTACGCCCCTATCGAAAAAGATAGAGAAGAATTCGGTATCTTCCTTTCTCAATAGTGGAGGGACCAGTGTCAGCACCGACTTTATGATTGAGCGACACGTATTCCTCGCCGAGTGGTTTTAAACAGTTTTTGCTTTTGAAACAGCCACCTAATTTATGATTAGAGGCAAACATCAGCCACGATTGGCTAATAAATGTTCGGATTGAAAAATTTTGGAATCGCGCTTCCTCTTGCAACCCAAATGAAAGTCCACAGAGATTCAAGCAGATGCCAGAACTCGAACAAAAAAATAGAGAATAAGTTTTCGAGAAATAAACTCGTTTGAAAATCAATTTGGTTTTCACGAGAGACTCAACTGAATCTCTTCTCCTACAACTGAGTGTGCTGCACACAGGCCGCCTCATGATTCAGTTGGAACGATATTCGAGATATCGCAGTATATTTTCATAAAGCAATAAGTTTGTGCACAATTATTGGAGGTACGTAGCAATGCAAAACTATGGGTTAATAAACGCGGACGCGTTCGGTTTCACACGCATCATGAACCTACCATGAACTCGGACAGTGTATTGCATGTTCCCGGTTACACGGGTCTGCTCGTTTGTAACCTGACAACGGTATTCTCCAGCAGCTTCCACCGAAACTGGGTTGATCTCCAGCATTGTTCCCAAATTTTTCACGTTTACATTCGGTAGCTGTATGAGAAAAAAGTTTGAGAAAACAAAACGTACCAGATGTGATACATACAGTGGCATTGTTGCATTCGCTAGTAATTTCATACTTTTGGACCACTCCGGTTAGAGCAGCGCACCAGCTAGAGAGATGGTGCATCTAAACTCGTCAAGCCTATTGTTCAAACGCAAGGTTTTAATTTGGTGAGAATAATCAGACTGATTAACCGCAGAAGGTCGACTGTTGTGCAGGTGACATGCTGAAGAATCTTTCCGTTCGCAATCCGTATCTGGTTGATTCGACGAAAGCAAGCAGTAAGTCTAATGCTCTGTAGCCTAAACAGGCAAACAAGCTTTCCAATAAATAATAAAAAGGCAAATAAATAATTACCCGAACAACAGCAGATAACAGGAAATGATAATAAATAAATATAATGCATGGGCTAGCGGCTTTTTGAGTTACTTATCGCAAGATAATTGAGGCTTCCCCTACCTTGGTTCAACCTCATCATGCCTCTAAATTCAAACTCTTTTGAACATCTAGGACTCAAAGTAAATCAAGTAAGCAACCAACATGTTTCGCTGTCATCTGAACAACGAAGAGGCTACCAGTAACTGTTCAGTTTATAGAACATCAGTTTGTAGCATAATTCATCCTTTAGAACTTGTGAAAGATGTACGTGCAAAAGCTACAACGAAATTGTATGAGTGGTGTAAGAGGCTGCCAGACGAAAAAAATAAAGAAACCGGCAGTGCAATAAGCCAACGTTATTTTGACTCAAATCATGATGTAATTTTTGAAGAGAAGGATGAGAGAGCCAAGGAGACCTACCTTGGCATCCATAAACTATGCTCCTGAGGTAGTTGACCTCAACACAATGTTATAGGTAAGCTCAATACTATCGTTAAACGAATTCTCTTTCTACTGAATAAATCGTAAGCTAGTCCAAATCTTGGGCGGATAATATGTACAGGACGCTAACACCAAGGTGCTTCGATCCCTTTTAAGATGAAATTTGCAAAGCCTGAAAGCAAATATGTGTATTTCGAAGTGGCGCGGGGAGCGCTGGCCACAGAACTCTAACATGAGGTTTTCTGATGATGGCTATCCTCATATACTTATCTGGAAAACTTAGTATTAGACAGCAGACGACATTCGCGGGAAACATGTCGCATCAAACAGCCTTCTATGGTGTACACGTGACAGTCTGCATTGTGATTAAATGGATCTGTGGTGATTTATTTTCGATGGGTCGTTTGACAAAATACAATTATCTTCCTGAATATCGGTCAGTCTCCAGTTCATTACATCATTGAAGGCCAATAGAGATTCGAAGTCGGACATGTAGAAGAAATCGGGGACGGAGCTCGGTGATTTTCAGGGATTAAGAGATAAACAGTATAGATAGCATAGTCTGATAGTGACAGAGTTTTTTTTATTTTCACCCGATGGGGCTTGCTTGTGGACGGATTTTGTGATCCATTTCGGGAATAGCCATCGATGCTAAGTTGCACTGTTGAAGCATCTATGGAATACCAGGCATGTCATTACCCACACCCTTCCAGTTTGGAAACTTAACCGTTCGGCTACGATTGACTGGTCAGCAGGGTAGGTGAGACAACTAGACAGTACGCTTCTCCAATCTTCCCTCAATCACGAAACATACATCGCGTGTTCACGCGAGCGACGACTTCTCAGGATGACTTGTGAATTATTCTAACCTCTATTCGAAACGCCCTGAAGGTTCCTTAGATGCGCACTACTCACGGATCCTAATGCGGACAAAACAGCTGTGAATTGCTTCCAAGTTTCACTTAGAGGCTTAGTTACAGGAACAAGTCTCAATATAAAAGTTGGTTAGGCTGTCAGGGAGCGCCACACCGAATGTTCCAGGTCTTATGAACCTCTGAACGACTGAAACAAACTGTTCCATTCTGTAGCTCATGACCTCTGCGTACTAATTCTTCAGCATGTGAGTGGAGTAAGTGCACTATGCCCATGTGTGTGCATGTGTTTCATATCAAGGAAACCCTGGCAGTTTTTACGTGAATGAATTCTACCGAAAGATCTTGGTGAAATGCTTTACGAACCACTCAGTTAACCTGGAAGATGTGATGATAGTAAACACCTATTTTGAATCTGCTCGGTCAATGGGCCAGGGATCGACTATCCGTCATTGTCCCATTACAAGATCGGCCCATCGACTGACAATGGGGCTTGACTTCAATGCATACAAATAGAGTAATCCCGATCAAGTAGGAATAGAACCTTTGATTTTCCAGTGCTATTTGTGTTTAGGTGAATTTCCATACAGAATATGATGAACTCACCTCAATCGGCTCTTTGCCATCCTTGTACCAAGTATACTGGGGCGGCGGATAGCCAGCAAATATACACTTTAATCGTAGTATGTCTCCTGCAGTGACCACCTCAGTCCTCGGGGTGTTGTATAGTGGCTTTACCGGGTAGTTTGTCTGGAAACACAAAACCGTACAAAATCGAATATGTGAGCCGAAGATTAGATTACCATGTGACCCGCGGCACTTTTATTCATATCAGTATTTCCACAAACCATAAATGGTACACGAGGATGCGGATATGAGTTACATTTACTTTGAGTGTACTGCGGGACAAGCAACATCAGGAACCTCCATGTTGTTATATTTTTGAACTTTGTTACTTTCACGCACCCCCGCACTCAAACATTTCAAAACTCAGTAATTTTGATCAACAACCCTCGGCTTGCTTGGTGTGATGCATTGTTTTTATTAGCAATCAATGAGCACTGTCATTTGAACTGAGTAAGCCGGTCGTAGCCAGTGTTCTCGTAAGGGAAGAACCACTTGGAATGGAGATAAGTGACCTGCCAGAGGACCTCCTTCTTATTAAATCGTGCGTATATTCACACTTTGCCGGAAGCAGTGTCTTTTCTAGTTGAGTCGCTCCTGCGGAGAGGGAGTAGTTGTAGGCTGATTCTACCGCGAATTGGTGAATTGTTCGTGGAATAGAACCACCTGCCTTCCATCGGTTTTTAAAGAAACGGCTTAGTGATGTAGTTGCCTCATTCATAACCAAAGCGATCACATCAAGCACTAGTGTCAAGCTTGATATACTTCATCTTATGACTGTATTGCACCAGCGTTTCACACTAAAGCAACTGGAAGGTGTTACAACTCACAGGAACGCGAACGAAATGAAATCAAATGAACGTGCTTTACAAGCAGTCTGACTAGGCAAAAAATATCGCTTTGGTAGTAGAAAACGAAATTTGAGTACTGGCAGTAGGAGAGCAAAAAAGATGTCAAACAGAAACGTTGTCAACGGCATTCTCGCCCTAATGGTCGACATTCTAGATTCTTCGTATCCGTAGTAATTTTCGGCTCTAAAACGCAAGCAGTAGAAACCAAAACTAAATTTACTGCAGCATGCAGCGCATTGAACCGGTTTTACATTCATTTGTACCAACATAACCACCGTGATGTAGAATGAAGATTGTCTGACTGGTTTTAAGTTTGATCCAAGAGCCTAAAGTAGGATTGGTAACTCAGAGTCCATAGGACTTTAAGGCGATCTCAACTAGTAAAATGAATATTTTTCATTTAGCTCATCATTACACTTCTGAAGAGCGGTGTTGACCTGAGTGGTTTGGCTGAACCAGATTACTGATTATACACTGAATTCATCATTGTCCTTAGCCTATCTTTCTGTTGACAAACAACGTTGTCTGTATACCGACAACCTGGCAGTTTTCAGGGCAATTATAAATTCTATTGGCGTGACAGTTCATAAGCACCCATCCTATATTTTCACAAAGAAACTACCCACGTGACAGTTCATAAGCACCCATCCTATATTTTCACAAAGGAAACTACCCACAAGGTTGCTGAAAACTCTTCGATAGCCCACGACCAGGTTCACCCTTCTTGGGGCTCATCAGGTAGGCGCAGTCCCCGAGTTTCCGTCAACCTTATGTTCTACTTGAACCCAAGTTGGACTGTTTTCGAGAATCTCTCGTGAAAACCAAATTGATTTGCAAATGAGTGTATCGCACATCCTATAGTTTAACTATAAAAACGTAAAAGCTTCTTTAAGAAAAACGGCATGGAAAACAAACCTGAGTTCCAAATACTTTGATTAGGTACGATGGTCCATTTGTCTGGTAGCGTGTCACCTCATTATTGGCCACACATGTGTACAGCGTGTCGTGGTCTTCTTCTATTGCCGCAGCAATGTACAGATAGCCTAAATTCGTAAAAAAATTGATAAGGGTCACATACAGGGTAACGCAGTCACTCCGTATACTATATCGTATTACCTTTCCTCACTTCTGGATTATAACATGCACGACGAATTCGAAGTGCACACAGAACTTGAAAATCAGTCTACGACCTCAGTTGATATCCAGAAAGACCAGCTCTAAGGAGAAATCATCCCTATTACAGCCTGGATCTCTACATCACTTCCTCTCAGAAAAGACTACCAACGGAATAAACCTTTTGAGTCCGTCTTGAGAAGGGGATGACCGTTTTATCCTTTGCGGTACCATCAACAGTGCGATCCCTACGAGCCTTGAAGTTCCGCCACAACTTGTCTTCTGAACAAGTTACTTAATGTTTGTAAGTAGCGTAAACATTTTCGCTGTTCAGTAGGGTTCATCCACAGCATGCAGCACCGCAGAGACGTCCGTTTCTAGGCTGCCTTTTAGAGAGTCACCCAATGAGTTCTGGCCCTTCTGATGTTAACCTTCAAAGTGATATTTTCACATCCCAAGCCGAGTTACATTTCTGTGACAATGGGGGATGAGCCTAAATGCTAGGTTACTGTGAATTTCACGTCCCTACTCAGGGCCCAGTTACAATAGCTTGTCTGCGGCGAGCTTTTAATGGTGACGATATATTGAAGTGATGGAGTGTTCTGTCCAGTCACGTCGTGTGGCGTGGTGATAAGTCTGATGGCCTTGTCAGTGCAATGCACCCGTGGTTTTGGTTTGGAGGAGACTAACGATTATTAGAACAGAAGAAGAACCACTGGGTAAATTTTAGTGATATCCCTGAAACCCACTGTTCTGCGTGTATAATTTTGTTTATATGCATGGATATTTTTTCCAACATTTCCAGCAAGCCAGAAAACGTGTCCTCAGAATAAACAGTTCAACTCATCCAAACTAACTTAATAAACAGAACATTTCACTCGAAATCAGTGGAACAATGATGGCGGAATTTCGCTTTAGTGCTGTGGTAGACCCTCCAATAATTAGGAGGGGACCTTAAGCAGAACAGTCAAGGCAGCATGAGAAATGGAAAACGACTAACCTGAAACACAGTGGTGATTCCAGCAGTCTATGGGGAGTCCTTTCCAGTAGAAGAACGCTTACAAACTACTACTGGTATTGCGCTATGTAATTAGGAGTTAACAACGAGGTACCTTTCGAAGCGATAGAACTGTTATCCCGCTTTGCGGATAGTACCTAGAACGATCAGGCAATATTGCTTTGTTTTGAGAGAGGGCTCGTTCCTAACTACGATGATTAAACAAAACTTTTGGGACAAAGTCATGGAAGTTTTATCTGGAGACAGTCTGCACAAGAGGTATAAATGTATTTGAGCCAAGTAACCTGTGAGGTTTTCAATACCAAAAGAAAAGATTTACTAGGATTTAATAAGAGGGTTGCCCTTGCTCAAGTTGTAATCGTTGAAACTATGAAACTCTTTCAAGCACACCTCATTCCGACTAAAGTAGAAAAACCAACCATCGAGTTCAGGCAGCTTGAGGTTTCTCCGTTAAACGAGGATACCAATGACCAACTCGTCTAGTAAGGTGCACTCAAACTATCTGGCCGTATTCAGCCAACATAGTGATAGAAAAGCATGTTTTTGGTGAAATACTATAAAAGCTTCAAGCACTATTTCTATTCCATGAGATTTTTCCCCTCCTCGGTCGTTGCAGGTTGCATAACTCACCGTTGCTTCTATTTACCTTGGAGTCATTTTTATATGCTACTTTGGGGGAGGTAGAGAGGGGACATTTACGGTCTTAAGGGGTTATACATACTGTTCCTCTTCCCGATGTTTAGTCCACCTCCACATTAAATTCCCAAGTATGACACTACTTATCACTGTCTCCCTTCGGATTTGCTTGTAGGTGATCTAATAAAATAGAGCTCGCTGGATCTGTCCCTCAGAATAGTTTCATCTGGCTCTGATAATTTATCCATTGTTTTTCCAAACATGGGACCTACCGACCGAAGCATTATCGATTTTGAACGTACAAGCAAATTTGGCAGAGAGAAAGAGTAACGAATTGTTTTTATTTGTAGGACTGACGCATTTTAACGGACAATCTGATTAGACGATCAGCTGATTAGTAAGCTTGGAGTCAATCTACTGAGTAATGGTAACATTTTTATAAACCCAAAGGCCCTTCGTTGTTTCTGTTACAGAAGATTTCATCCATGTTCCTTATGGTTTTGTGTAGTATAAACAATCCAAGTGAATCATTGAAAAACAAAGTTTCCGGAGAAACGCTTCCTTATAAGCAGGAATTCCGGTTCATTTGTAGTGTTGTCCAAAATTTTGGAAGATTGGTGAAGGCTTGGAGCTCTCTTTACTCAAACAAGCAACATGCAACCGGGCGGTTGTCGAGCTGAACGGAAAAGAAGGAGAGTTGGCTGCATTGAAGTGTTGACGACATTGGCAACGGCCGGCAAGCAGAGGACATCCCGGAAGTGAAGCCGAGGTTAGGTTACCTTTGTAAATTCTAGTGATCATTTTGGGACAAGGATCTAATACAGATGTACAGTGCTCTGGTCTTTGAACACTGTTTGGATCCATGTAACAGGTGAACAAGCCGTTTTCTTGATAAACTCGCTGAACTCTTCTAAGCCTATTAAGATAAGTGGTACCCGTTAGAAATCACTATTTTATGATCGAAACCGTCCTAAATCCGCAACACAATGATTTATCAATCAAAATTAAAGTTCCATTCACTCTGATGACTGATGGCTTTTGGATTATTACAGATTATTTTCAGTAAGAATTCATGGACTCCAGCTGTCTTTTTAGCGCGTCTTGGATCTTCTGGTCACTCACCTGACAAAGGTACACCAGAATAACAAACAGACATCTAATCAGCTAAGTTGGAAATAGGACTAACGGTCCGTTTTGACTACGAATGAATGTACTCCATCGAGCAAAAGCCCAGTCATAACACTAATTCTCCGGAGTTGCGTAATACAGCACACAAACAGTTGTTCCGGTTTTTAATGCCGAGATTCCTCTGCATTACTGTCTGCCTTGTACTTTTCGCTTGTGAAAAGATCGGTTAGATAACAGTTCTTCAGCTTTGTCTATTACCTCATGATGTCAAGCTCAGGATAAAAATTCAAAATGTTAGATCTCAGGTTTCAAGGAATCGTTGGCAAAACCAGTTGTCTTTATTGCACACGCACGAAATACAGTGTGTTGCAAAGTAATTCATCAGAGGATGTCGGGATATGCTGTAGTGTCTTCCCGGAAGAGATATCTTGGGAGAAATACCATATTCTGTTATCGATTAGATGATCTATCAGGGCGCGACAAGCTACGACCGTCTGAATTGGATTCGACGGTTGTTCCAGAGTAAGCTAATTTTTACAATATCTTGATACTATATCACTGGGCGACAAAAATGTTAATTCATTAAGAGATTCGCCGCAATTTTTCACCGTCGTTTATTTGTTAGATCTGCGGATACGGTTAGTTTCAGTTATTCCGTTCCATAGCACCAAACCCTCCGATGTAACGGCCAATATTTATGTAAAATCGGTCGGTGACGCTGCTGCCCTGCTGTTGCGCCATCGAGTGACACTCTTATGCCCATCTTATTGCCGTTCCCTGAAATGGTTTTCGCCTCAACTGGTTCAGGGCGGTTTAATTGGAAACGAAGACGAAATGCAGTTGGAGTGAGCTTGTGGTGTTCATGATCTTATGGAATGCACAGACTAAATTCGCTTTCCGTGTTTTTTCGGTCCTCAGTAAAGATAGGAACAGGAATATGTGTAGATACGCTAAAGCGAGCACAAATGGTGACTAGGGGGCTGTTTCTGCCAGTCGGATAACGGGTTTCCAAGAATTCGTCGCAGCTTTCGTCAGAATGTTTGATGGTGCCAGTGTGGAAGAACTTGGAGATGGATGAAAATTGTTGTCACTGATTTTCGAAAACATGTTAGGAGGCTTGTATCAGGTGCCAGAAAGTGTGGCAAGGAATTTTTTAAAATATTTTTAAGGACACTCAAAAGGTGCTCATTTCGAATTCTCAACCCCGCCGACGAGGCCAACAGTTAGCTAGCCTTTGTGTCTCCGATTGTCTACCTAAAATCTAAAATATTCAATTGTTTTCTGCCCAAAAAGTATTCAACCTATTTGATTTTCATAGATTTGGAGGTCAATTGAATAGCACTCAGTGTGGAAAGTTCTCGGACCAACTGGCCGATGCAGTAAAAGGTCAGTACATAATCCAACATAAACTGAATTGCAATAGGCGACTGAACAATGAAAAATCGCACAAACCTGTGATAGGCAACGGCGGATGTACAAATTTGCGCCAAAATATTAATTTAATACAAAGTGGAATTTGTCCTATGCGAAAATTTGCTATTATTCTACGGCAATAAAGTTTCTTAATGGGTTCATCGTTTTAAGTCATATTTTATTGAGTAAGTCAAAAATTTTCACTCATAATATCACTCAAAAGTTTAGCCATTTTTTGGCTATCTGCAATCAGCCGTAAATCTGAAGACAGACCAGTACATATGGGCTTTTCAACTTCTCCCTTGAAACAACATAGAACGAGATAAACTCTTCCCTGGTTGGGAAAAATCTTCATTGTTAAGGGGAGCCTGTATGGTACTGTTTTGTTCACACCATTCAAATCTTTACATATGCGGGGTTTCTGGTCAAGTGGTAAGACTTGACTAAGAAGTAAACCATAACTTTTTGATGTACTGCTCAAACTATAAGTTTTGGAAGAATCTGCAGGCTGATATAACAACAAGATAACTCACGGTTTAAGAATTCAAGAAACTCCGATACATTTTATTCTTTTCCGTGATCTTCCTGTTACTTCTTTTGGTCTTTTTTCACAAAGGTATGTCGTGTTTCAGAAGACGAATATTTCGAGGGTTCGTGGATGAAATTCCAGGTAACTACACGTGACACCACTATCACTGCGAAGTGATCATTGATTACGTTAATTTCGCTGGGAAT